CCATACTTTCTGCAATATTAAAACACGCACACACAAACAGGCACACACACTTGGATTTCTTCAGTCCCATGCTGTACCAACTACACAGCTGGCGGTGGTTTTGTCTGACCTTTCCCCTCTACCCAAAATCCCTCTTCGAATCTCCAAGACAAACATGAAATGCAGACAGACTCAAATCTAGTTTCAAGTAGTGATGGACTCACTTGTTGTGTGTACTATTTTTTTTTATCTCTGCCTGTGTTAAGTTTCTGCCTCTGCTTTGCCCTTGATCCTCTCACTTAATGCTGGTAAAAAAAACAGCTGTGTTAAATGTTTGAAGTATTCTTGTCCCCTAGAGCCCGGTCTGTAACAGCAGACGGAGAGAACAAATTAAAAACTGTCTGGAAAGAGCACAACATCTGTGACAGTATCTGCGCGTTTTCTGCATATAAACAGAGTTACAGACAAGGTTTTTTATATCCTAGTTGGTCTGTCATCGTCAGGTCATTCCTCCTGACCTGACCTCACAGAGGATAAGCTGTCTGAAAAAGACACAAATATTAACAAACAGTCCCGTGTCCTCTGTCTACGTTTCTTTTTCTTATTTTCTTTTTTTTTTGTTTCACTTTTGAGACATAAAAGAAATACGACTGTGCTCTTATGTCTTTCCACTATTTGACTTGCCATCCTTCTTTTTCATTCATCTTGCTTCACATCATTCATGTGGTAAAAATGATAGATTGGTGTAACTTAAATTCAGCAAAAAAAAAACCTGCAGTTGTACTAATAGATCAATCCCTATCCATGCTGCTCCTAAGCATATTGCTGCACCCCATTAGGGTGATACGCTCCACAGTGCTGGGTCTGGTATTGTGCAAGCAGCTGCTTTTATTGAGCACTCTGCTGACATCCAGCCTGGCATTTCTGCACCGCAAGGGGAAACTTTGGATGACATGTAAAAGCAGGGGGTTCAGCGCGACATGCCTCCGTAATGGGATGGGAACAGGGGTGCACCAGAGAGAGCAAGGGGGAGGGGTACTACGGTAGGCTTACTGCAGGTATATGAGGGCAGTGGTGGGATTGGGAGGGTAGGGGGAGGGAGTGTCTCATCCAGACTGCTTCAAAAGCAAATGGAAGACAATCCAATTTCCTGTGATTCCATCAAGCTGCATCCTGGATGCAGGGGCATTAGGGAAGGCTGAGAGGACAGGCCGCTGACCCCTCACATGAACATGCAGGAAGCATGTACGCTGCACACACATACACACACACACACACACACACACACACACACACACACACACACTGGTATGCTTGATGTATATTCCTCACAACATGCAGGTACCTGCACTGTATATTTGTTTTTGCTTTATACTGTTAGTCTCCCTTAGTGTTTCCCTTTCTCTTTATTACTCCCCTCTCTTTTTATGACTTGCCTTTAGATTGCTTTAAAATGCATTGTTACAGTAGAAAGCAGCGCTGTTCTTCTCAGCTCATGAAAAATTTCATTTTTATAGGCCAATGTTTCACCCTGCACAGTGACACTGTTGGTTTTCATATTGCTATCTGGCAATATAAAAAGTATTAAGGCAGCTGTTATAATAATCCAAATGCATTCAAAGATATTAGTGGAAGTATTTTATTGCACAATGAATACTTTAAATACTTTGGTCTTATACTACCAAAGTACTACTTCTTCCTCCGCTAGGATATTGATGTGATTGATCACCGTATGACTCTTTTCATACACCTGTAGCCTAATAGTTTGACTTATATTGTGAAATTTACTCAGGTCCCCTACTTTCAAACAATACAACAGATAGTTCTTAAATGCATCATTTGGCTTCAGCTACACTCTCTCTCCTCCTTCATATTTTTTTGTTTGTGAAATATCAGCCATTCATTCTTGCTTTTATGTGTTTGTGTTTCTTTTGACCAACAAACGGCAGTCTGGCGGTCGCTGCAGATTAGGGCTTAAATCCCTTACACTTTGATTATAACTGTGTTTATGCTCACCAAAGTCTTTTACTTTGCCTTGACTGTAAACATCTGCCACTCTTTCGTTGTGCAATGTGTGTATGCTTTTTTCAGTGTTTATGTGTGTGCAGCTTGCTGTAAAACGGGGAATTCATTTAAAAATATCAACAATTCTGAAATATCAACATCATCGTGAGAGACAGACACAATGTCCGTAATCCATCACAGGTTGTGATTTGACTCGCAGACAGACAGCATTGTTGTCCTGGGTTAACTATGGCACGCTTTCCACGCTGGTGGTGATTTGCATCTGTGCTCTGTGATCCGCCCAGAGGGAATAGAAAGCTCTAATCCAATCAGCAGGTCCCTGAAGTGCTGCCCGAGAGAGAGAGAGAGAGAGAGAGAGAGAGAGAAAGAACATCAGTCTGTACTGGACCTAGCTAGAGAGGGAAGAGCGGAAAAAGGAGAAGGAATGGAAAGGAGGGATGAACAGGATTAAGATTGAGGAGGAGACTGAAAGGGAAAGAAGGAAAGGTGGGGCTTGAGTGACCAGGGGAGAGGTAATGAAAGAAAAGAGATCAGGGAGGTGTTTTTTGGAGGGAGACAGAAGAGAGAGGGAGAGAGAGAGGGAGAGGGAGAAGAGGAGGAGGAAGAATCAGGAGAGAATGGGTGAAGGCTGTGGAGGTAACCAAACGGGAAGGTGTATGAGCGGATGTGCTGTTAGAAGGGCAGAGGTGGAGACACTAATGAATAATTTCATCAGGACAGTTTTAGTCATTTGGAAGTATTTCCCCTGCCGTGACATTTTTGGACACAGCAGGAAATGTCAGTGTGTCTGCTGGCTTTTAATCTGTCTCTGAGTGTTTGAAACTATTGTACTTGGCTCTTGTTCTGAGACTGGAGGCAACAGTTTGACCATTTATCATCATTATGAGCTGCAAAGGCAGGCTGCAACAGTGATGAAGAACTGAATCTTCTGTTGATGAGGCCTGTCATATATTGTGTCTTATTATGCCTACACGCACACACACTGACACACACACACTGACACACACACACACACACACACACACACAGACACACACACACACTGACACACACACACACACACTGACACACATTCACAGACACACTTTCCCATCTTTGTGCCCAATCCACAGTTCTTGCAAGAGTTATTTCTCTACCATTGACCCTCTGACCCAAAGTATCATTTTTACTGTTCAAAAGACACACGCCCACAAATCCACACACACACACACATGCGCCAGACACACGACCACACACTCTTCACACTCCCACACACTCCCACACCCTCACACACCACCACTGATTTTCTGGTCACCCTTTGACACTCATTCCCTCTCATCTCTCCCTTGTCCCTGAGCCGTGTGTCAGGGTCAAAAGCGTTCATGTTTGATTTGTTTAAAGGACAAGGCTGTAAATATGTGTATTTCTTTTAAACGTTTAAAAAAAAAAAAAACAGCATCGACTTGCTCTGCTAACAAATTTTAAGACATTGACCTCTATTAAAAAAACATGTGAGTGATGACATCATAATAGATGACACGTTCATTGTCCTGCATCTGTGAAATCTCACTAAAAATACTGGAATATCAAAATCAGCTTCATTTTCCATGTATCACACTTAAGGAATATGACACTTTTCTCTCTATTTAAAGCATTTAAACAAATATTTACAAGACTGATCAAGACAATAGTCCTGTGGTGGTTAGTGCAAAAAATGCTGAAATATAAAAAAAATGTAATCAATCAACAGACGGGTTCATTTTGATGATGTAGTAAGTTGTTTCTTTTTTTACAGTACTTATTATATAGTATTAAAAACATTGTTTTCATGTCAGATGATGGGACGGCACATTAAAGGCACAGTGGGTGTTGTGTCACAGTGTTGTGTCACAGGGTTATTCATCTTCAATAATGTTTGTTCAATACAATAATACACGTCACAAGTGTTTGAGAAAATAATTGAGTCTCTTTAAAATAAGAAATAGTACATTTCTAAGACTTTCATAGTATGAGCGTCACAGTAAGGGATAAATAAATCCAAAGAGACTGACGAATGCTGTACTCATGTTATATTGGTCTGATCATCATTACAGCGTCAAGCTGGAAAAGCTGCTTTATTCAGCCTTCAAATAGTGATTTCATTTGGAAGTATATGACAACTTCAAAATCTGCCACTTAACACAAAGAAAAGTAGAAGTGTGAGCAAACTCTGAAACGTGTCTGCAACGCCACATGTCTGAAGCTTGATATCAACACTAAAGAGTTGTACATTTTATATCCTTTTAGTCACCAAATAATTACATTCGCACAACAGTGAAAGTAGTTCAGTTGTACTGTTTTCAAAAAGGCATGAACACTCCCAAGTCACATTATTAGAATCATACCAGACTTATTATTTAAGACTTCTTGTTTCATGGGCGCCGGTGGACCAGTGGTTAGTCCAAGCGCCCAATTTGCAGAGGCTGTAGTCCTCAAAATCGGGCAGCCCTGGTTCAAATCTGACCTGTGGCTCCTTTCCCGCATGCCATTCCCCACTATCTTTCTCCCCAGTTCCCAACTCGATCCACTGTCTTGTCTCTGAAATAAAGGCTAAAAGCCCCAAAAAACATCTTAAATAAATCTTTTGTAAAAGCACTTCAAAATCAAGTGTGTTAGCAGGCTACTGGGTCTACATCCATTTTTCAGGAGAAACCTGCTCAGCGATATGTTGAGGTTCAGGTGAATCAGAGCTGGAAGTCACCTGCATGATAAAACATTTGCAGATCAAGTGTTTATAAAAATATCAATACCTCATCTTCTCATTTAACCTCCTTTGATACAATTACAACATGTTGCCCTGTGTCCTCAGACAATCGCTAGGAGGTAATTGGAAAGTTTTACTGTTTAATTTGCAGTTTCACTTGCCCCAGCTGCCGGTGATTTACATTTTGTTATTTTTTCCTGCTGATATTATTCTTTGAATTTGCTCCCTCTGGGGTGTTTTTATTCTTCCCTGAAGGCTTGCTTTTCTCTTACAGGACAATGAAGGACAGACAGCACTACATTATGGTAAGAAGAACTCTTTTTCAGTTCTCAACAGTCCAGAATGTTGTACTAACACTTGAAAATGAAACTCTGTTTGTGTTGTTTTGCTTAATAGCTGTTTATGTTTGTCTGTTTTTGAAAGTTGGAGACACACCTTCTCTTTTCACCTGCTAGAATTTGTTGTCTGTCTCTCATCTTTTCCTAATTTTTCATCACTTTGATACCTGTCTGGTTGTTGTTCTCTGTGTGTGTGTGTGTGTGTGTGTGTGTGTGTGTGTGTGTGTGTGTGTGTGTGTGTGTGTGTGTGTGTGTGTGTGTGTGTGTGTGTGTGTGTGTGTGTGTGTGTGTGTGTGTGTGTGTGTGTGTGTGTGTGTGTGTGTGTGTGTGTGTGTGTGTGTGTGTGTGTGTGCACGTGGGAGTGTGTCTGTGTGTGTGCACGTGTGTGTGTGTGTGTGTGTGTGTGTAATAATCAGCCCTAATAGTAAGCCCTCCCAAAGGAAATCAGCACTGGTCCTCAGACTCCCTGACCCTCGCATGCCCCAACACACATGTCCCAGAAGGGCGGTTCCTGTGTGTGTGTGTGTGTGTGTGTGTGTGTGTGTGTGTGTGGTGTGTGTGTGTGTGTGTGTGTGTGTGTGTGTGTGTGTGTGTGTGTGTGTGTGTGTGTGTGTGTGTGTGTGTGTGTGTTGCACCATCTGTCCCCCAGCTTGGTGGCGTTGTGTTGCATCACCTGCTATAGGTGTGCACACACACAAAAACACAGTGAGTGGAGGAAGCCCTGAGGATGGGGCATAAAAAGATGACTAATAAACATAAGCGATGAACTCCTGGAGACAAATAGCAGAGAATGAAAATTCATTCCCACCTCTCTTTGCACAGGGCCACAGCGGCTGGCAAGTGATTAATTGAGGGTTTACTGCTCACCATAAATTGTTCTCCTCCTCTACAGCTCCCCTGAGGGCTGGCCACTTTTTACAGCTCAAGGCCCAGGCGAGACACCTACCACGCGCACACAAACTCACACACACACACACGCACACGCACACGCACACAGGGCTGGCTAAATAAAATACTGTTTAGAGCAACAAGAGGAGGACTGCAAGTATAGCTGGAAAAATAAGCCAAGCTTTGTTATTCTGATTTGGCTGAAAGATAAGTGGTTCTTGAAGCATGTGACACATACACACCACATACTACTCATAAACACATCTTGAGTGTGCACATACACTTTCACACGTGCTCACATGCATTCCAATGTATCATCTTATCTCATGCACACACACACCTGCCAGCCTGCCGGCCAGCCACCTCTGTGCTAGAGGTTAAAAGGCCTGGCTGTCAATCACTGCGGCTGCTGACATCAGCGATCACAGGCTCAGCACAGAGTCTGCTCTTTAAGAGGAGCGAGCCATTGACACCGACAGAGAAGAGCACTCAGAACAAGAGAGGGAGAGCGAGGGAGAGCGAGGGAGAGCGCGGGGGTGAGGTGCCAGAGGGGGGGTGAGAGGTACATCAGGAAAGAGGGGAACCCACTAACTTGGTTAGAAGAGTGCACCCCACCCTCCTCCCCCCTTCTAGCGGGAGGGAGAGAAGACCCTTTTAGTGGGGCAGAAATTGCCAATGGGGCAGAAATGAAGTGTTTGAGAAGAGCACAGGTCCAGCCCGGTGTCAGTGCTGGACCTGCAGATGGGCTTTTCATTAACTCCAGCTCTGTACATAGTGTATTAAAGTACACTGAGCAAGAAAGGAAAGACTCATATTTATCTAAACCTGCCTCACAACATCATAACAGATGCGTGAGCTGCAGTGATTCTTAAAATTCACCATGATGATAATTGTCCATGTTAGGATCTCCCCTTATTTCATGCTCAAGCAAAGCTGTGCTGCTAAGCTAATTGCTCGCTCTATGGAAATGTGAACACCTTGATGTTCGATTGGTGTAAGTTTACAATTTTTACTCTTCCAAAGTTGAGGCTTGAGTCCTAAAGGAGACAATACTTTTGCCATCAGGGACCCTCTGCTTAGGAACAATGTGCTTGAGGAGATCAGGCATGCAAAATCAGAGACATCTTTTAAAGCACGTCTTTTAAAACTCACCTCTGTGGACTTGCTTTTGTCTGATGTCATGTGATGGGATGAGACCGATCCAGTGAAATATCCACAGGATGTCAAGCAATCACAAGTCACAGAGACTTTACTGGAATTCTTCCTCTGAGGGCCATGAATGCCTATACAGGATTTACCTTAATATTTGCTTTTCTTCTTCTGCTTATTTCATGTCTCTTCTTGGCTGCATTATTTTCTTCCTAACTCCACCCATTATTTTTCCTTCTCTATTTTCTTAGCATCGGCGTGCGAGTTTGCAGAAATTGTGGAGCTCCTGCTGAACGCTGGAGCCGACCCGTCCATCAAAGACATGGAGGGCTCTCTTCCTGAGGAGGTCACTGAATCCAGTGCCATCTCCTCTCTCTTGCGTCAGTACAACGCTCCAAAAGGCTAGACCACCCACCTGCCACCACCTGCTCCCCACCCCCATCCATGTCTCCCTCTGTTCATCCACAGCAGTTAGTAAACCTGGATTTCAAAGGTTTTATTCAACTTTATTTCCAAATACATGAGGTGAGTTTGATTTTGTTCGGATAGCTCTTTTGAGGCGCGTGGTGTAAAATGAGCCCTTTCATTTGATAAACCACATGAAATGAAGCACACCACATGTGTTTTTATTGATATAAATACTCTATATTGACTTTATTGGCCTAGCAAGGTTGAGTGATATGGAAATCAAAGAGATGTTTCCACTGGTTGAGATTTGTCTGAGGTAGCTGGACCTGAAATACCTCGTGTTGCATTACTTTATTGCAGAAAATGTTTCAAATCTATCAGCAGGACTGCTTATCGGCAATAGTGCAGTAAGTTACCATATCAACGGTTACGAGTATCTGAATGTGTAAGGAAATCAATTCACTGGTGGAACCAAAAACTGACATTCCCACCCACTTATTTAATTTAACAATGGTTTCTTGTTTGTTTAAAGTCTTGTTGCAAGCACCTTATTGCAATTTAAGACTGCATACTGTAATAGAAGACTTTAAACATACCACCCACTCCTGACAACCAGCCAGGCCTTCAGGTCTGGGTCAGCCCTCTCCGACCGTTTGTTCATGAATCAGTTGTGTTAAGGAATGCTTTAATCATCTGTTCTTATCACATTAAAGTCTTCAACAAATCCAGTCCCTGTGCTTGTTTTCTGTGTAACGTGGAGTTACAAAAATGTTCAAATGCTCATGAATTAATCAAGTAATGGTTGGAGCTTTAATACAAAGAGATACTGCAAGCATATCATGTGTACATCATTTCTCTCCCTTATCTTCCCACATTAAACCTAAATCTGCTTTTTCCACAAAGTTTGAACTAACTTAGTCAATTTACTGATGTGCCTACCAGTTTGGTAATTCAATACTGTAAATATGGATAATTTATGATAAACTTCATCTGAATAAATTTAGCATTTTGTTCAGGTGTAATATAATTTCAAAAAAACAATGGTAAAAAAGTGAAGACATGCTAGCATCCCCTACAAAGCAGACAACGGTACAAAAAGAACCTAACCACATTTTAAGCAGGAAAAACTAACAACTGTGGGAGGAAAACAAACTAAAGGTCTGTTACTTCATCACACTATATAGAGACCAAGTAAACTAAATATAGAGTCATATCTGTTCCAACTAAGAGTCACCAATATCACAAATGTATGGTGGCCAACAAAGGAACTGCAATGGCCCAGAAGATTCCCATGAGGAGAAACAGGCTGCAAATTCATACACTATAGAAAGCTCCATAAACACATGGTAACGTCCATAACATATATACCATCGCTGACAGGATTCATAAAGAAAAAAGTGCAACACAAAAACAGAAAAGAAGTACACACAAAGAAATTAAAGTAAAAAGAAACACAGCAAACAAAAGCAACAGAAACAAATCTGCAAATCCAGTCATCACAAGAGAAGTGCTACCATCACAATGATTGCAGACTGCCAGTAAATGCTGCAAGATATGGAAACACGATAAGACTGGCCAAAAATATTAAATTAAGATTTTGTATACATGGCATGCATACAAACACTCTTATTCTTAGTGGAGCTAGTTGGTGTTAACCAACCCAACTCGACTCCCTCATCCACACACAATACGCTCAGTTTTCTTTTCGTACTACTCTGGTCTATACAACCCGTCTGTGTAGTATTATGTCATATAGGAGAGATCTGGGTTTCTCCAAAAATAACCGACACATGGTCGGAGTCCAAATCTGCTTTACTCATCCTCGAGCCCCTCTGATCAGCACATTCTCTCTGCCCCAGACCACACACACATATACACATACACACACACACACACACACACACACACACAATCCATTAGATGAAAACAAAAACTAAATCTGGATCCTGGATCTTAAGCACAGCTTCATGAAGATGCACATTTTGTACACAACAAAGCTTAATCGGTTGATCTCTAACATGCTCCCTCTCTCCATGCCTGTCCTCATCCCCCAGTGTTTGACTTAAATCCGCCCCAACACAAGGCGTTAGATAACCGTCTCAACATGTCTGCTCGCAGCCTGTCACTCACTCACAGAGCTTTGACGGCTGTGGACTGTATACACAGCATTGGTAGTCGTCACAAGAGACACCACTTCAATCTTTGTCCTGACAGCTGTTGTACAGTGGCTTGAGTGAATTGAAATGCTACTGAGCCAAGCTGAACTTGAGCTGAATTAAAATCTCTCAACATAATGTTGATATCTGCACCCATGTCTTGTCCTCCCTTTAAGAATAGTAAAACTAAAGAGGCCTAAAAGTCTCATCTTTCACTTTGGTAGACTCCATCCATAGAGCCTTCCTCCATGTCTGCACGTCCCCTCATGAATTCTGAGGGGGACCTCTACTCGAGCTGAGAAGAAACCTTTTGAGTATTCAACTTGAGTCTGAGACACGACGCGCGACTATCCCACAAAGAGACAAGCAGCGGCCATCTGTTTGTTATGAATTCCATCCACATGCAGCTATTAGGCCGTCGGTATGTCTCTAAAGCTTGTTTGGGGCCCGCTCTTGTCTCCTCGTTGGTTCCGTAACCCCGTTATGCTGCCTTGAGGTAAGAGAGGGTGACGGCAGGCTTGCTTCGCCCCCAGATCGTCTGCGAGACTCTGACACTAAGCCCATTATGCTTCCATTATGGGGCTTCAATTTTCCTCTGTGCGTTTCACTTTTGACACTGCAAGCTGCTCCCCCTTCCAAACCGCAGACTCACGCACGCACAGCCCCAATACTGTTAAGCTGTTCTGAATATTTATACATTTTTTGGAGGTGAAAGTAATACGCTCAAGAAGTTATCAGAAGTACAGTTCTTAGGTACCAGCACTTTGCTATAGTACTTTTACTCCCCTATATTTGAAAATATGTAATAACTGTTTATTGTCTGACAACTTTCTACGGTGACACCGAGACATGGAACACAGAGAAGCAAATAAAGCATCCAGCACATTTCTGATGACAAATGAACACAAACGTATACGATGTGAGATCACAACACACTCCTTGATTTTCTTATCATTTTAAGTTTCTTAGTTTCTTTTCTTGTATTGAAACCATTTCTACAGGATTCACTCCAAATAATTTTAGGAACCAATTCCCGGTTAAGTTCAGGATTCAGTCTCATCCTTGAGGACATTTAACAGTAAGTCTGTTTATTGACAAGTTCAATCAGTATTAATTAAGGGTGGACTAGGGAATACTTTCCATGTGTACAAGTCATTTGGTTATGATAAGGTATTTCACCTAATTCTGGTTTCAGAAACAACACTCATCCTGGTTTTGAGTAACCTGGACGTGCTAGATAGAGTACATCATCTCAGTACAGTGGTGTGTACCGGTAGTTGCACTTAAACTCTTGGATTAGGTTCATGATCACTCTCTTCCAAATCCATTCATTTATGGGATGAGGATAACAGATCCCCAATAATAGTCAATTTGTCATCTGATTCCACATGCTTCAGACTTTGCTCAGTGTTTGATGGGTAATCTATCTATGATGGATGTGTTTGTGTTTATGTGTGTCTTAATTGATTCCTTTGATTCTCGTTCCCATCTCTCTCATCACTCCTCTTTCCATCATTTTCTCAGCCCCATTCTGCACACTATCTCTTCCCTCGTTTACCTCTCTACTCCTTTTCTACTCTGTAAAAGCAATAACATGTTGTTGCTTGGCCTGCAGTTCTTAAAGCAACCCTTTACCAGCACCACACCCCATCCCACCCCTGCTTCCATCTTCCCACACACACACACACACACACCTACACACCCACATTTAGCAGGGTGGCTGGGAACCCAACAGTAAGCAGAAATCCCTCATTGAAACACTTTACACTCAGAGGCTCATTCACTGCTGTCCAGGACTTGATATGCCTGTGTGTAAGTCTCTGTGTAGTTTTTAACTATAAACTATAAGTGTTACTACTATATTATTTAACACTGGAGATCTGAGCTGTCAGACTTAAGATGAACCAACAAATATTAAGGTGTCTGGTCGGCACTCTGAAAGCATCAACTGTATGTCATATGAACGTAAACCAGTAGAAAACTACAGTGAAGATAAAGGCCGTAAATCCAGCAAACCTCAATAAATCAATTTTTTTTAAATGTATACACAAAATCATTCAGGTAATTTCATGACACTACAAATATAGCAGGTCTAGACTGCATTCTTCATTATATTATTTAAAGAGAACCAACATTAATCCCCCATGAGCTGAGCAGGAGCTGGACCAACAAGCAGAAACCTGAGCAGAACCAGAGCCATGCAGAGAAAGAGGGATAGATAAAAAAAGACAACAGAGAGAAATGGATGAACAAACAGGGGCAGGTACATGCTGCAACAAACGTAACCATTTATTTCAGATGATCAACTATTATTTGCTTTGCGACAAACAAACATGCCTAATATTAGCAAAAACAACTATTGATGTTATAGAAGCTTGACTGATAATAATAATTGTAGAAGTGAAAGTCTAGCATTTCCAAAGATAAATCATCACAGCAGTATTTGTCACGGTTCCCTTTGGCTCATGGACCCTCCTCCTCTGGGTACCTGTCCAATATGAGCCGCAGGATAATTATAAAGAGGAAAAGACCTGGTTTCACATTAAAACAGCATTGAGCTCACAACCTTGAGGGTGTCATTGAGAGGCCTCTGTTTGACTCCAGCCCCGCTTTAAGACTCACTCAGTCATCCGGTGGATCATTGTTCAGTGCAGGCCCGATGGAGTCGTTTGGGGAGAAAAATGCCCTGTCTCCAAGCTGCAAGATTGACTTTCAGCGCAAAACAAATCCCGTCTATTTTGCATGTTAATTTATTCTGTTTTGCTTCAGACGAGTGAAAAAAAACAGTTTCCTTCAGGAAGTTTGTAATAAAAGCCTGGCGATCAATGATAATGGCATTTGTGCTCGTGTTTGTCATCTTCGCAAAAGCAACAGTGGTGGAGTTTCCACAGATTTATTTGTATACTAGTGCTGTAAGTGGCGTGTAAATTATCCTAACTGTCCATGTGGCTTTTTATCTTTGTAAGGCAGTACTATTAGAGCCTATCCATTATTGCCCATAGCCCAGCCAATCAATGCTTATATAAAAATCGGCTCAATTTGTAGCATTTTATGCAAACGTGCAAACTCCAACAAGGCTGACTCTCTGCTTTTTGTTTTTATAATGAAACAGGAATAGCTAAAACAGAAAGGAATCGATAACACTTAAGTTTGGGTAACATTTGCGTGCTCTTAGACAAGTGCTGCACGTTGCTGCATACAAATGAGTTTGATACAAATGTACTCTGTGGTGTAATTTCATTATAATTCTATGCATAGTTAGCCAACACAATAGTTAAAGGGAATAAATCCACTGTAACCTGAGAGGTTTTCTCAATAAAGACACCGCATTCAGAACAATATCTATTTATGGAGCTGGGTTCTTGTGATGTCAAGGTTCATTATATTGGTCAGATTTTTTGTATGGGTTCTTTTGCTCCTTTTTTTTGTTGTTGTTGTTGATTGGCTTCTTTTGTGTTTGGGTTCTCATGTATACCACCACATGTCTGTCAAAGCACTTTGTGAACCCCTATCTTTAAATGTTCTACACAAACAAAGCTAGTATTATTATTTCACACACACATTTGATCAGAGCCATAGCTGGAATTTAGACCGATGAGGTCAAACCTTTTGTTGCACTCACTAATTCTAGACTTCTGAGGATTTTGACGAGTAAGATATTTAGTTTCTTTGTCTTTGAATGATTTGAGTGTTGTTTTCCTTTATTGAAAAGACAACAATAGAGAGAAGGCAGAAAATAAGGAGATAGAGAAATGAGGCGCCCAGCTGTGATATTGAGGTTCATGGTCTGTGCTTATAACTCTTATCCCATCTGTTCAACTGTCATAAGTATTTCTGAAGCCCTGGTACTGGTGTAATGTAATCGATTGCCTGGTTGTTGGTCAGCCCACCACTTTGTGACCAGCACAAAAATACAAAAAAACTAAATCACCATGAAGTCTGGTATAGTTTCTAATGATATCTTCAGACATGCACAAGCATGGCTATAGACTCGTGTTTAGATTCAGTCTTATCCACAAATATAATGTCAACTCTGACCTAATTGACACCAGAAAAATAAATCCAGGGCCACAGGTTGCCTTAAAACCATTCACTATGCAGAACGAAATCTCTAGAAATAAAATATTGCTTGTGAAGAAAAGTTCTTAATTTTGTAGTGTGTGTTAGGGAAATGTGACCTATGATCTCAGTGGTTTCAAGTCTTGTCTACAACCCTGACTATAGACCACCCAGATATATTGACATAGAAGCTAACTGTCGGCATATGGGCCATATTCCCTCTCTGCCTAACCACAAAGCATATTTGACCATATTTCACAAAGCACTCCACAATTAGTTAACAGCACAGGGATTAAGGAGAGATTTGACAGCCCAGCGCTGCAATCTGCTGCTGTGTGTCTTTAGCACTGAGAGGATCAGTGAATCCAGGCGGAATCTGTTTCTCCTCTTGTTTTTCTCTGTTTCTCCTCCCTGCTCATGCATCTCTCTTGTCACCCCCCACTCTGAGAGCGAGAGAGGAAAGCAGCATCAATCACTGTTAACTGACTGACCACTGTCTGTTGGTGGTACTAAATGGATCTCCACAATTGAATAGAGGTCTAAGTGTGTGGTAAATGCTCTGAATGGGTAAATGAATTTGAGGGTTAACTCGCTTTAAGAGCGCTTCGATAAGGCAAAATAATAAAAACACCTAAAGAGGATATTATTCTTTTGATATATTGATAACAAAGCTCAGCTGAAAATCTTAACTCTCACATTCATCACTGCAGGCCCAGGCTATTAAAGAGAAAAGCACTCGAGGGTAACCCAAAGACAATTCAGCTTTATTTTCCTCATATAGATTTGACTGTACACGGTTCATACCATTACACAGAAGGCATAAATGAATAAAGTCAGTGCTCTCTTTTACATCTTTTTCAAAGACACATGGCAATAATAAATAGCACTCATGAAACAAGACGATCAACATGTTTTCAAACTGTACAAAATTTACAACAATTAAGATGCAAACTTCTGAGGCAACACAGACTTAACATAATCATCCTGCTCGTGTGTTCGTGTATGATCTTCACTTAACACTTCAGATAAAAGCCCACAAATGACACGGTATTTATTTTGTGCAAAGGAGGTATAAATCAAAATATCTGCTGCGTTGTGAGTATGTATACTCTCAGTACTTTTTAAATGACTTTACACACTACATAATTTAAACCTTTTTAGAGTACCTTCATTTTAAAAATACACTCTACCGCAACTAATTCTTTGTATTATCAACACTGTTACCCTAATTATAAATGTTTTGTCATTTATTAATTAAAATTAATGTAATCCATGATTACTACAAAGATATTTAGTCATTCAAAAATGTGTAATTTAAAGAATGAGAGTGGGAAATCCTTCTTAAACACATACCTGCTTGGATTTAATCTGAACATGAGTGATGGTAGATATTAAGTGGATAGTTATGCTGCAATTTGTAGGCTTTAATCTAAAGTATTACCTGATTTTCTTTATGATATCACTTTCTGATTTTGGACTCTTAAGTAGAATGCGCAATTAAAAAGGACTTGACAAATTTCAGAAGAATAGATGACCACATGGATGAGATTTGTTTTTCTTAAATTGACTGGTTTGACATGCTCAACAGGTAAACCTATCATCTGAAAGAGAGGTTTCATTTCCACAGAAACAGAAACAACAGTAGTTCTCTCAGTGTCAGACGAGCTTTAAGATGAAGCTGTTGAGGCCTGAACAGTAAGTTCAGCTCAGCAATCACGCCTGCAGTGAAGCTACAGCAGAGAATCAGCTCTGATAGTGGGGGGCTCTGTGGTAATCCCTCTGACATGGAGGCCAGGCAGGGGAGAGAACAGACTGACAATACATCTGGGGTCAGTAAGTAGGTTGATCGCAAGCAAATCTGGAACTCTGCTGGACTGAGTAGATTACTAAGAGAAGCTCTGATCAGACTGCAAAGCTAACACAAAGCACATCTTTATCAGTGCTCCTGCTAATACTCGTTGGTGAGTTGAATGTGTGTGACCAATATTACTGTGACACCAATCTGTGACAATCTGTAAAATGTGCATTAAAAAAAATAAATTAATCATTTAGATGTGTGATATATTACGGGAAAAACCGAAGTTACATTTCTCCAAACCCTCAATTTCTTGACTCTCCTCCAACACATTATCTTTGATCCCTTTTGAGTCCAGACAGAGATAACTCAATACTGACAGATGTCTGCTCAGACAGCTTTTTAAACAGACAAGAACAAGTCAAGCAACTATAAATATAGAAGAGACCAGCTGTGTGCGCTTCACTCAAACAGAGGAGACATCAGTTACTACTGACAGAGGGACGGACAGACCACCTACTTCCTAATAACGTGTAAGCTTCTGCAATTCATAAAAAAACATCAGCATGGTTCAAAAATCACACTTGTGCCACTCTTCTTGTAAATTTCTCTCCCAATGAAACACTGTGATTTTGCCTTGTGCATATGTCTCTCCTCTTGCTCCTCCTCTCTCTGCATTTCTGTCCAAACGTGTAGAAAAAGAGGAGGAGAGTAAAGTGCATCGCCAATGTAAAGGCTCTGATATAGACGGACTGCAGTCTTACGCATCAACAATCAGAAGCATGCAGGTGCCTCCTGGTTCTCATAGGGACGGAGATCAAGATTGTAACCCTAATGTCGTAGCCGTTAGACAATGAGGGTGTATTATGGGGCTTCCCTGTAAGAAAAATCCTTTGACTGATTTGAAATCCAGTCAGGTGAACAAAATAAAGTCAGGTGATGACAGAAGATTGTATGATACAGGTTTGAGATTGAACATTCAGCCGTGTGGAGGGGCTTTACACGGCTTTTGTCCAGACTACACATCCCGACCAGTCTCGCTGGTTGATAGAAAGAAAAGTCAAGAGCCATGTTGGTCTGTTTTGTTGTATCCTCACAGCGATCTTCTTCCAGGTTAAACACTCAAAATTGGGAATGGTCCATCTCGTCCAGCCATGAGGCGGGGCTGGTGGGAAAATCGGGATATCCTGTACTGCTGCCTGTGGAGAGGTCCGAGGTAGGGCCCCCCGCCATGGCCCTCAGCGCCTGTCCCACGCCACCCGGGCCGCCCTGCACTACCAGACTGTCCATGCTGAAGCCCAGGTTGTTGAGGAGGGGGGTGTGGCCGGGCAGAGAGGTGATGGAGGAGGGCGACTGAGGGAGACCGTAGGGACTTCCTGCTCTGATGTCGTGGTACGGCTGTCCCGCCGCGTCGACGGAGAAGCCGCCGTTCAACACCCCGCTGTTGGTCACGTCACCAACACTCCCGTAAAGGCCGTTGGTGTGTCCGAGATCTGACAGGACCTGGTCATCTGTGGAGGAGAGATCATCACTAAGCATGAAGGGGAGTAAAGACTTAAACACATCTTCAGTGCTGTCAGCTGCAGGAGCATTATATAGCTGTTATATTTCAATACAGTTAAGTGCTTTTATGAGGGAGATTTAATGTGACAACATCATGTGGATTAAAAGAAGGAACAGTAAGCGGACCACTGTGCTGCAGAAATATTTAACAAGCATTTGTCAGTGAGAAATGATGCATTCCTCTCAGAAAAGGAGGTCTATATATGTGCAATTACTGCAGCACCAAACATTTGTTTCCATCCCTTCCTGAGTAGATTCAATAACAACAAAGCCTCACAGTACTTTCTCTCTAATTGGCTAAAAGCCTCACAGGCTTTATAGAGTTTCTGTCACCATGTTTTCATTTCTCATAAAAATGGTCTTCTTTTTAAAAGTGGCTTGAAGACTTTTATGACGATCCAAAACGGGCTCTGTGAACATTAAATAACATAGGGATGTCTAAAACGCCGTTTGCATCCCACTAAGGGCCCTCTCTCTTTTCCAATAAGCTCCATCACAGCGACAAACCGAGGCAGCAGGATGCGTCACACGGTGGATGTGTGAGGAGAATGTAAATTGAGATTTCCCTTTTAAATAACTGAAAGGGAACACAAAAGCATCTTAAATGACACAAAACACATTCAAGTGCTGCTGCGTTTATAACTGTGTCATACAGCTGCTTGTAGGCTCCTTTAATTCCATTAGCACCACAGCAAGACTGACAACACCCTTCCAGAAATCTCTTTCATCCATAACCGTAAGGTTGGTTGAAGTACCCCACCCCAGTGCGTACCTCTGAAGCTCAGCTCACTGTCACTGAGTCCTGCGTCGTCGGCCGAGCTTTCCTTCTCCACTTTCGTCCCTCCTCGGTTGCGTTTAACACTTTTATAAAACTGAGTCCAGCGATGTCGTCCTGCATCTTTTTTTAGACGCTTCTCTTTCGCTCGCCGGTTCTGGAACCAAACCTGACAGAGACAAGACAAATTAGCATCCCAACAAATTAGAATGAATGTTGTAATTATTAGAAACAACTAAATATTACTTTAGATAATCACCATAAACAACAACCTTTTTTTTCTTTAATCTAGTTTATTCAATGTTAATATTTCAGATGCTAAGCCTTTCAAATCATTTTGTCTGAAAACTGTTTCCTAAATTGTTTGCACTTTAACAAATAGGGTTGAATTCACATCCTCTGACATGCAAGTATAAAACGTACATATAGAGCATGACCATCTTGGTCTACTTGTCCTTATAATGTTTATTATCATTATATAGTCAAAAAGACTGTTCACATCAAAAAGGTTCACTATTCAGTAATAATTCAAATTTAAAAAAGAAAGAAAGATTAGGCTGACAATATAAAGACCTTCCAGTAAAGTCAATATATAAACAAGTTTTAAATGGTGAGTTACTGTTTCCTCTTTTCAATTAAAGAATGCTTCTCCAAAATCTGAAAGCGCTGATAATACAGGCCTGAGTGCTTGCTTAACAATAATGAGGAAGCTTAATAATTAAAAGCTCATTTTAAAGATGCAGAGATCAGCATTGAACTTCTGTAATTAAAACACGTTTAGGTTTAAAGGCACTTGCAGTCACCTGAGGTAAGAAAAAGAAAAAACCTCTGTACCTGCACCACTCTCATGTCCAGCCCCGTCTCTGAGGACAGCTGCTCTCTGACATGGCGCGCCGGCTTGGGGGAGTTTTTGTAGGCACTTTTGAGGGTCTCTAGCTGCTTGGCCGTGATTGTGGTCCTTGGTCGTTTGGTCCCCGCCTCGGAGTCGTCTGCAAACACCAATAAAAGAGTGAGTGACTCCTTCTTACGTTTGTCACAGTGCCTTAACAGGTAGTGCCCCCTTGGCCTTTGCATTGAGTGTATGTGTGTTAAATGAAGTGAATGGTCATGTATGGAAGCGTATTATTGTCCTTGTGCATCTGTCCCGCTCCCACAGCAGAGGACATAAATCTATCCAGTCAGAGTGCCAGAGGAGCGGAGTTATTGGGGACGCATAGTATAAGAGCATTGCTCCGCTTTACATAATCAATCAGAGATGCATGGAAATCTCAATAGACAGGGGGGAGAGAGGCAGCATCACTACCCAGATGACAAACAACATAGATCTACAGTCAGGAGTCATTTCTCTACATTATGCAGTTCAGAGAGCTGTGGATCTGATGTAACTAGAGATCACCCAGCCGGCCTCTGACTGCATGGATGAAACAAGTCATGATTATTCAAACAAACCTTCTTCTTTTATGTTAAATCAACAAAAAAGCAAGAAATATTTAGGCTGATCGACTTTAAGGTACTGAAAGACAATAACCTCCTTCCATTAAAGTACATATATAAATTGGTTTAAAGAGGTATTTGTTGCTATCTTGAGCACCTTTATTAACGTTAAATAAAATTTCAAGAAAAACCTTAGCACACAATCACACTACCATGGATGTATGCATGGACAAAGACAATCATTTGTGTTGGATCAAATATTTTCAGTACAGTTTTAACATGTTGTTTTTCTTTGTAAACAGATTGTTTTCTCTCTGATTTATTTTTCCTTTCAAACTGACTGCGTTTTACAGATTTTACATGAACACAGACATACCGTTTTGTTTGGCCGTCTCATAATCCACCTTGCACACCAGCCTTCCGTCCTCCATGAGGTAAAACTCGTCCCCTGTGGCCAGCTGTCGGCTGCACATTATGCAGGCAAAACAATGCAGGTGATACACAAAGTCCTGTGCCTTCCGCACAACCTGTGTGGGAGGGATCCCCTGCTGGCACGACGCACATTTTGTTCCAAAACGTCTGCAGGAGAAAAAGAGGACAAGAGATGCCATTAGAACATTTAATGCTAACACCAGCAACACCAGACTGACATCCCTCTCCTCTATATACCCATTTTACAGGCTGATGGAGATGATGACACCAGCTGAGATTAAAATTTCACAGGCTAGACAGCTATTTCTTCAGCTGCAGCCAAGAATGATGGCCCAGTGTCTGCATTAATAGTCTAAGCTCCAGCTGTTGTAGCGGGTAAAATCAGCACTGGAATGCATTTCTGTTAATGATGGACCTGTCTGAGGCTGATGGATAGAAAGGATCAATGCACTGGGTGTGTGTGCACATCTGTGAGTATGTGAGCATGTTTGCATGTTTATGTGTTTGCAGATGAAGTACTGAGAACTAAAAAGGAGGAGGAAGAGAAAGAGGAAGAGGAGGAGGAGGGGTGCCCGCAGTAAACACACCCTGAGGAGATCCAATAAAACACTGACTCAGGAGGGGCTTTAAATCACACAACCAACCCACTGAAATAAAAAAAGAGCAAGGTGAGGCCTTCAAATCGCTGCTGGTAAGCACACCACTGTATCTGTGTGTCTGTCTGTTTCTATGTTGAAACATGTGTTTGTTCCAGACATACTGGTCCCCCACCACAGTTTAAACAGACACTCCCCTTCCCACTCCCCATCTGTCCCCTGGGTCACCTAACACAGTTAGACCCCAGTGAGACTGCGGACCTCTTTAGGTCCCATTCAAGCTTTGAGCATTAAAACCTTTCAAACATGATTTAGGAAAAAGCCCAGATCTGCTGATCCTGTTTTTGGATAAAAGTCAAACTCAATTTTCTTCCGTAATGCCTGAGAACCAAATTTAAGAAAGACAGAAAGAAGGAGTTACGAAATGATAGAAAATAAAACGGTACAATGGACCAAAATGTTGATTTATTTAAAAAAGAAAAAGGTATTAAAAGCATTTTTTTCCCTCATATGTCAGTGAGATGTAAAGAGTGAAACGTGAATAATTATTATGAATAGCAATTCAGTATATTAATTCAAAAATAAATAAACAAATCTAGCTTGAAAAGGAAATGTGACATTTGTTAACAATTGACAAAATGATTGATAAACGCAATCCAAGCAAACATTACTCGTCTTACTATTAATTGACTAACTCGCATATCTTAACACATAACTACCGACTATCGACGACTTTCATCAACCATTCATTTTAGTAACAGAGAGCTTGACTTTCAAAAAAATACAAAGGGAACTGTAAAAACTCTGGACAAAGATAATAATAATAAAAAAATCAAATTAAATAAATACCAAGCAGAAACGCTTGACTTGTGCTGAATGCAAATTCGAAATGATTCAGCTGAAGAACTATTTCAGCATCACGTTGTTTGCAAATTTCACCAGATGGAATTATGAACTATAGCCTTATTAGCTTTTTTAAAATAAAAAACGTCGATTGTACAATGGCTTTAAGATATTCCCGCCTCACAGACCCTACTTTAGAGATTAAATGGAACAAAATGTCGATGTATTTTTGATTGTATCGAACAAAACGTGGACTCATTTTCCCTGTTCGCTCTGAAAACGGTGAAATAACAAACGCAGTAAAACATTTAAAAAAAGACAGAGAGAGAGAACAGAGGATGAAAGGATATTGAACTGTTAATAAAACAGGTCAAGTAGGACAAGAGAAATTAGAAGGCGAAGCAGAAAATGTGCACTAACTTGAAGAAATCCTCCTTGCAGTAGACGTTTCCGGCTCGGGAGAAACATTTGTCCGCCAGCGGAGTCTGACAGTCGGCGCACTTGAGGCACTTGGAGTGCCAGTGTCTGTCCAGCACCTTCAGGATGAACTTGTCCAGGATGTGCTGACTGCAGCCGGCACACTGAGGGATCTCTGCTGGGACAGACAGAGGAGCACCAGGTCAAACATGAGTCATTAACAACCCTGATAACCATGGATATACGAGTTTCAATCTCGGGTTCACTCTATTTAAGGTTTAAAAATAACAAAGAAGAAAACATACATTAGCCTACTACAGTTGTTAAGGGAATGTGTTGGATCACACTTTGTGTGCATGAGCTTGTTCCAGGCTACTACACAAAAACAAAGATGTTAAACAACATCACGCAACAGTTTGCAGGTCTATCTAAAAGAGAACAACATACCAGAGCAGAAAGGATGGCAACACGGTTTTTTTCTTTGTTGTAAGCTATCTGAATGATATTAGTTAATTTATTATTAAACTTTAAGCCATTTAAAGGTACGAGATGATGCTGTAGAAATGGCTACCAGTAGCCTAATCTGCAGGCTATTCCTTCAGCTGTCTCTAAAGCACTTTGACTTATTTCAATTTGTGTTTAAATATTTTTACCCTGTTCTTTTTTTTTGTTTCATCATTTTATGATTCAGTTATCCAGAGTCAATCCAGATTATTATTATTTTAGCTTTACTATATTTATGAAGGGTAAAACATACAAAACCATGTTTAAATAAGTAGCCTACCTTGAAGTCTACTTTTGTGTAAGAGGACGCTTTTGTGTTTCCGTCACTGTCCGTGGTGCTGAACTGAGATGTTTACAGAGTTTTACTGACAGTCACTATGATTGTTATTTTTCTTTATTTTAGTTGCTGTGTTTCTCTGAAGCCCTCTAAAAAATAAAAAAATAGCTTATTTTTTTGAATAACAAACTACAGTAAAATGCAGATGAAAAAAAAACATGAATCAACGAGAAAACCAGCTGTCTGTATAGAGTTTGACCTTTAATAACCCAAAATCTGATTATTCAAACTCTTATAATTAATTGTGTGCAAAATCTGCGTTATTGAGATGTAAAAGATTGTTCCTTAACATAGAACTGATGCGTGATCAGTGTTAAATGAAATGTCTCGTCCTAGCATCTGAAAACCAACAAAGCGTGTGATTGTTTTTGGATTTAATCCTCCACAAATATTCTGTAAATATGGGGCAATTTTACTCAATTTTCTTTGGCAGCGTCTCTTCATCAAACATACACATGATATCCGATAATGAAAAATCAATATATAAGAGACGTGGATGGAGCAAAACACTACACACGTGCGCACACACACACACACACACACACACACACACACACACACACACACACACACACACACACACTCACACTACAAATACTATCCATAGCGATGCTAAATTAAAATAGAAAGAGAATAATCCTTCAAGAAGCAACCAAAGGCGTCTTTATTTTAAAGCTTAGACAGAAAACACAGCTTCCGGTGTATTCTACATCGAGGTCAGTGCAGGCTGACTCTGAACACAACGTAGTCACGCTGCTTACAGTTTTGAAACAAACGATTCAATTTAAGAAATGTTAGCGATGTGAAATCATACATCCATTGATTTTCATTGGCGTTAAATTAAATACGTTTAGTATTTAATTTAACGCCAATGAAATACGTTTAGTATTTAATTTAACGCCAATGAAAATCAATGGATGTATGATTTCACATCGCTAACATTTCTTAAATTGAATCGTTTGTTTCAAAACTGTAAGCAGCGTGACTACGTTGTGTTCAGAGTCAGCCTGCACTGACCTCGATGTAGAATACACCGGAAGCTGTGTTTTCTGTCTAAGCTTTAAAATAAAGACGCCTTTGGTTGCTTCTTGAAGGATTATTCTCTTTCTCACCAATAATGTCAGAGAAATGTACAGATAGCTATTGTCACTATTAGCCTACTATAAAGGATAGAGACGCATTAAACGTGGGCTATAGCTACACACACACACACACACACACACACACACACACACACACACACACACACACACACACACACACACACACACACACAGACAGGGAAGGTTTCTATGGATGGTTATTTTGCGTCACCAAAATGAATCCGTGCAGGAATTATAACAAAACAGAGGAAACTTTTAGGAAAGGATTTCACCGTGTTTCTTATTTCTTATCGACAGTGATTCCAATAATAGGTGGAGGTGTGTGTGGACGAGCTGAGGGAGAAGTGGTGCTGAAAGGAAAGCAGCGCGAGCTTGGCAACGATCGAGCCAGCTTGGTGTGTGTGTGTGTGTGTGTGTGTGAGAGAGAGAGAGAGAGAAGAGAGAGAGAGAGAGAGAGAGAGAGTTGTGTGTGTGTGTGTGTGTGAGAGAGAGAGAGAGATAGAGAGAGAGTTGTGTGTGTGTGTGTGTGTGTGTGTGTGTCTGTGTCTGTGTGTGTGTGTGTGTGTGTGGTGTGTTGTGTGTGTGTGTGAGAGAGAAGAGAGAGGGGGGGGGAGGTCGACCTCGTGCTCATATCTGTGTATCTGTTACCACTCTTCCACTCTTCACTACATTCAGTCTCATCACCTCCGTCATTTCAGGCTGGAAGTGAAACACATTTGCTTTTTAGATTATTTTTTTTTCTTTCCAGTAGAAGAAGAATTGCAGTCTGGCAGCCTCTCGCATTTCCAATTGTTCAATGATTTGTGGTAATTAAATGTGAAGTAAACACTTTGTCTCGTGGACTAATAGCCTTCAGGTTATGGTTTGGATGTAATTGCCCTGAGTCAGCAGAGAACTCTGTCCAAGATATTAAAATATGTTTAGAAATTATCAGTTGATTTTATTCCTGGAATAATCCAGATTTAAATCCATTCTGAATGCTGTAATTGAAGGAGGGGCTGAGTGGCAGGATCTTTTATTCAATCTTTTAATCTGTCTCCATTTAAAAAAAAACAAAGACACCAAAGCCAAAGAGCATAAGCCGAGCACATATAGGCCCTAGTCCCGTTTTCCCCATTTAGTCGAGTTTACCGTAAATGACAGTAACGACATCACATTTTTTTTATGTTTTACGTGTGCTTTGTTTGCAGTTGAATTCGGTAAAGATGCGCCAGTAACGCGGTTCAAAGATAAACCACCTTTTGCGTTTTGAGATAGTGGAGTAATAACTTGAAAGAAATTAACAAATATATTTCATTATAATTGGAAGCTGTTGTTTTGATGCAAACGTGCAATCCAGTTAGTACTGATCCTACTCGACTCTCCCACTTTTCTGTGGATTATTTGTTTTTGTTTTGGGTATGGCTTATTATAGTAAATCATCTGTACATTTTTTACCAACTCGCATGTGAATAATTAGGTCAGAGCTGAGATGTATCCGTTGCACTACCAGATTATAAAGGGCCTGCCACAGATTAACACGCGAGGATGAACAGATGTAGGGAGATTCTCGCCTTTGATGTGGGAATAAAAACTGTGATAATTATTTGCTTTTATCTTCAAGAGATAATAAGTCTTGAACGAGCTGCAACATTGAAATCAACTGAATTAATATATAAAATAAAGACATTAACTGACATCTATAGGCCTTAAATCAGAGTCAGAAACGAAATATGTAGTCTGTTTGGCATTTCTTGGAGTCGGTAATGAGTGCCAATCAAAGTCAGAGTGAGTTTGTCTGATGGGTGATGACAACTGCGTCTGATCTCTTGACCACGATGCTCTTTACAAATTAACAGCTGCTGAAGGCGCACTGTATATGACCAACAACCTGACGGAGGATGCATCAAAGTTTTAGCCAAACCCGAAAAAATGGATACTGTTGCTTTAAATAATATCAATTATCTTCTCTTTATTATTATGATTATTATTATTAATTGTATTATTATTGTTATTGTTATTTTAAGGCTATGAAGAATAACCAAAATTCCCATCCTTTGCGCTATAAAGGATAACATCCTATTGCTCTTTTAGAAAGATTTAATATCTTCTGCTTTCAGACCAAATATCAGAATAATTTAAGGCGTCTTTTTGTTCTTTGAAATAGCCTATATAAGCAGCATGACACATCACTGGCCCTGTACGTGACAATCTAAGAATGAGAGCTCCATCCTCCTCTCCTCTATTCTTCCTTGGCCGAGTTACTGTATGCTACTCAAAGCCCCCACAGAGAAACCCCGCAGCACAGGATGCCCGCGCCAACCTGTTTTCACATTGATAAACGACAGAACATTAGGGTTAAAACGATGTCTTACGTTGCAGTGGCACTCCGAGAATCTCCGGTAAACTCTTAACAGGACTCTCTGTCGTTAGGACCGCCGCACTTTGCATCATCGTGATCCAAACCGGGAGACAAACGCACGCGCATACACCCGAAACACGGTGGGCGCACTCCCCCGTCCCGTCTCGTGTAGAAAAAGTAGTGTGGTGGTACTGATGTTGAGGCCTCTCTTTTCCTCCCTGCAGCAGCTCCCCTCTATCCCTGTAATGTCTTTATTCCCGGGGTGATGTCCGTGCCGTGCTGAGCAGGTTTGGAGTGAATCTGACAGGCTGCTTGGTCCATTCAGCGCTGCAGGGGTGGCAGGGTCTGACGTCACCACGGCAGAAGCGCGCAGGAGGCCAATACGAGCGCAGGAAGAGGAGGCCCCCAGAGACGGAAAGCATCCTCCATAGGTGTACACGAGAGGAAGAGAAAGAAAAAGGAGGAGAAGCGAGGAGGAGGCGTCTGATACGGTTTATGAAAAAGTCTCAGGAGAGGCGGGACCTGGTTCATGTGGACACCATAAATAGCTCACTGCAGTGGCTCCCGGAGGATCCCAGGGACAGCAGGAGGAGGTTTCACTGAAAATCAGGAAATGTGTCATTTTTTATTTCAGATATTCGTCATAAGCGTGTTTTCAAAGAGAGGATGACGGCTGGCCAGACATATAGGCCTACACACAACCACTATGAGTGTTGATGGTATTTCTTTTCCAAAACACTTCCGATTGTTTTGGATGTGCAACTAACAGTTGAGATTTTACACATGAGCGGTTCTGTCTTATGAAACAAACTGTTTGTTTCTTCATCGTTTAAAGATGAATGTAGGCTGACAGGTGTGCGGTTGTGACACGTGAATCGAAGCAGGGATAAACCAAAGTAATCTCCCAAATCATTTGGAATGATGAGGAAAATAGACTTATATGATATAACGGAGTTACTCCATAAAAAACGCGAAATGACAATATGCCATTGACATGCTACGAGCTGAAAAGTGATCCCACCACTAATGTGAGATTATTGGCCTCATGTCTGAATGAAATCCAGCGCACCTTTCCCTTCTGACTTGCAGACTTCTTCCCGACAGGCAGCACCCATGCAGCTGTTTCTCTCAATGACAGGTAGGATTAGGAATCTGGGCGCAGTCCTCCTGACAATGTTCATTTCAGAGCCCATCGTCTGTGAGGTTGCTCTCTTGGTTAAGATATTCCCTCTGGAGGGCCGCTGGTTCAAACTAGATGAACTCAATCTTCGCTTCCAATTTTCCTCAAGCGAGGAAAGAAAACAACGCAGTGTGTTTCCATCAACACTGAGTCCGTGCGCCAGGCCCAGGGCACAGCACATCTGCACAAGAGCAGCTTGGTCCAAAATATTAAAACAACTTATATCTTATTTTCAAAAGGATTTTATTATTTAGTAATATTGATCATTTTACAATATATATTAATAGAGATTTGTTTAAACTTAAATATCAACGTATCAATCCGCCGCGGTTCTATTGCATAATAATTAAGGTCATGATCATGATAAACAGAGGCCCCATATTTGTGTTACCCTAAATTAAAGGTTTATAATACTTGTGTGTCGTGGTAAATATTTCCATATAATATCAAAATAACACAGAAGTTTGCAATTCAATTGCAGAGAGTCTGTAGGCGGTACAGATGACAAAAAGATGCGTTGCTGCGAAGTCTGTCATGCGCTTCGGGAAAATAAATGAGACTTTGAGTTTGTCCAATTCAAATTAGAAACACAAAGCAGCCAACGTTTTTCTCTGTTTCATCATGCTGATTTATCCTCCCGTCTATTCCCGTATTTCCAACAACGCACTGTTTATTCTATTGTTGCTCACCGCTAATACAGCGAAGGGACCAGAAATCCCATAATCCTCTGCTCAGTGTGGGTAATGTTTCAAATGTAATTTAGTAAAATGAAAACGCACATCAAGCTGATTAAAAAAGGAGGCCGGGATATTACAGGAACTTTATACAACCGATACGAGGCTGCAGCCTGTTGGCCAAGTGTCCCATTCATCCATCCATCCATCCATGTGTGCCCAAATAATCATCTGCTCCCACTTTTTTTCATTATACACTTTTCCCCTCAAGATCATTCAATTTATTCAACTATTCAATTACTCTGATTGTTTGAATTGAGAGCCTTTAGCTGCCCTGGAAAACAATGCAGATAAAAATGCTCTTAACCTGTCACTAAAGGGCAACACAATTAGAATAATTGAAGGATGCAAAATGCAGAAAGTGGAAAGAAGTGAGCGCGCACATCTGGTTCAGTGGGACATTGAATGGTGTGCTGTGATTTTACACAGCTATTTTAGATTGCAAAAAAGAAGCTGAATTCATTCATTTCACGCTTTTGTCCTCTTCATATGTATACTAGGATACACGTAAAAATATAAACTGTTCGATGGTGTTTGAAAACGAGGCGGTAATGACATATTTGAAAACATAAATATTACGCACAATTGCCTCAGCGCCTTTGCATGCGAAAATTCAAATTGAATCTAATACCAAAAACACATTTTAAATCCTCTAACAATGCATTCAAATACAATAAGAGATAATAAGAAAAATGAGATAACATTTATTATCAAATAATAATAATATTATTATTATTACTCTTTCAGAGCCGGGTAAAATGACTGACTGTTGTCCATAAGAAGATATTACTGTATGGAAAAAGCTCCAGAGGAAACAGCTTTCCGGCAATAATTCAAGTAAAGGGCGACTCCTTTGCCACGCGGTGACCCAGCCACCTCTAATTAGATCTAATATTTCAGTGCACGAGCTCACTGACATCTGAGATTCACAGATCCATCTTACAGAGCAAGGATTCACAAATACAGAAACACATCCATCTATTGAGGATGGACTGGCTTTAATGGGGTATGATGCATCACAGCATCACATACTGCACTACTCGCTTTATAATGAACACCGTTTAATGCATTACTCTGATTATTCTAATGTCTTCGAATAAAGAATTTATGCGTTCATTTTTTTTTTAACAATATTTCAACTTTTTGAAGAGGTCAATCACACCCATACAAACAAAATTGGTCTATAGAACAACTGCATCTTACATATGGTGACAACACTAAACACGAATGACGTCAAAATACGTTCATTTTATGTGCAGATGGCTGCAAAGCAAACCTTGATGTCCACTGATGTGATCATTAAAAACTAAAAGCATTATATCCCAGTGTCTGCATGAAAGTTCATTTTCTGCAGCTTTGACGAGCAGCGGTCAGACCTACCGAATCACATCAGCTGAAGCGGATGTCTCCTTCCTCTCTCTCTCTCTCTCCCCTCTTCCTCCTCCTCCTTCTCTTTTCATCCATGCTGCTCGGCTCTTTTTTTTTGTTTTGTTTTGGTCAGCAGTATGAACCGAAGTTCACAGAGACAAACAGCAGCAGTCAGTCCACACTTTCTCCGACATCCATTGACAAAAACAACACGAGGTAGCAGAGGCACCGTGTCCCTCAGCATTTGGTCCGACAGAGGAGCAGAGAGAGGGAGAGAGGCAGAAACCTGAGCAGGGAGCACGGAGGAGAAAATTAAATTGCACTTGGGGGCAAATTCTATTAGGGAATAGTTATTGTCTCCTGACAGCTCCTGTCCATTTGGGTAATTAGTAGAAGAGATTGGTTGAACAAACCAAATCTATTCCCGTCAGAAATGATATTTTCCAATTCCCCTGATTGAACCTGGCCTTGTGCTGCAAGCACGAGGCGGTAATAAGCAACTCGTTCTCATCTCAGGTCGTCAAACAGCGACGCGTTGTCACGGCCTTTAGCTGTAATGGGCTCATTTGAATCGAATAACTATAGTGTTACTACTGTGCAGGCATAGATACACGACGAAAGACTTGATTTAGGCTACAACTGTCTCTATAAATACACTTAAAATTAGTTCCATAATATTTAGAAATGAAATCCATTCAACACACTTAATAGAAACAAATGGGACCCTCTATGAAACGCAAGAACATGATTCAGGTGTATAATCCAGTTTAACTTCCTGCATGATGCATATTGCACACTGGGATAAAATGACCTGCATCTTTAAGAGTTGGAAAACAAATAGGCTAATGTAATTAATACAAATATAAAAACTTTGCATGGTAGGTTGTGGTGATGACTCATTCTGATGTAAGGAGCTATCAGTTTAAATGCCATGGTGTAGAGTGATCAAAAAGGCTGTACAAAATATTGTCTGCATGTGACTGAAGAATGTACAACAGATGTCTCTTAAAGAGTGGCCTATACAATTTAATAAGTTCCTTTATATAAGCACAGATATGCATCAAATGATATTTGGTCTTTTAAAGCTTTTCCTCAGGCACAGGAGTTTATAGGGTCTTTCAAAGCGAACCTTCATTTTTGGAGTATATGTTGCTAATCGAGTTTGCATATACTTTTAAAAGGACAGATCATTCAGCACATTTTAAAACATGTGTGCCATTCTTTATCAGGCTACTTTTAAAGTCCTATGAGAGGGAATAAACAACTCAAATTTTGTTTAATTTGTGTATTCCTCTGGTCTATATTTTGCTATTTACCTTTAAGATAAGTATTTAAGTAAAATGACCTGAAGCACCTTTTATAACTAGCAAAACCTTACAAAAGCCCCTTGACATGAACTCAAGATTCTTCAGTGTTAGTGAGCTGTGAATCTTCTCACTTCACTGACAGCAGAATGTCTGCTGAGTGAATTAAAACAATGTGAGTGACAAGTGCTGGATCTTCTCCAGATTACTAAACACACACTTCCTGTAAGCTATGTGCTAACAGCCGAACATAAAGAGCATGAAACAGAAGAGAAGAAGAAGTTAAAGGTCTGTTGAAGAGTGCTTATGATCAAGGTTTAAATGCAGTTCATATAGAGTATTGATCTCTGGGTCTTTCACTTCTTGCTGTTTTCTGCATTCTCTGCTGTGTACAGAAGAACCATAAAGACAACACATATGCCAAAATCAATTCATACAAATGACACAATAGGCCTACAGAAAACACTAGCAGACGCAGTGATGGAGAGATGAGATGTTTGGGAGATCAGCAGATGAGCGTGCACATGAAAAGGGGGGGATGGGCTGCAGCAGTAATGAGATGGA